GGAAGAGTATGTAACCTACACTTTGTAATAAATAGCAGTAAATTCACATTTACTAATATAATTGTCATTTTCACAGACGTTTCATGTTCGAGACGTTCTGTGAGCATAAAGAAGATCTTCAGGATGGAGAGACTTTGACTTGGATAGCAAATGCCAATATGATCCTGAAAGTGTACAGTGACCTAACACCATGTGAAAGCAATGTGTATGGGAAGGTTTCCATGTGTCATCCACCCTTTAATAACCATCCTACCTCTTACTCTCAGTATAAATCTCATGAGCATGAGGAGTATGGAAACAAGCTGCAGAACTCTAATTCTCTCACAAGCTGTCAAGGACATATGAGAACTCACACTGTGAATGGACCTCTGGAATATAAGACATGTTTCAATCTTTTTGATCTCCAAAGTTTGTTGGTAGATCAGGAAACACACAGTGCAAAAACAGTCCACCAATTCGAAGAATATAGAAAGGCCTCTGCTTGTGAGAGTTCACTTTACACATCTGGAGGAACTCAAACTGTCAGAAAGCATTATCAGTGTAATATATGTGGGAAACAGCTGAGTTCTTCCATTTCTCTTCGAGGACATGAAAGAATTCATAGTGGTGAAAAACCCTATGAATGTAAAAAGTGTGGAAAAACCTTTACACTATTCAGTTACCTTCGAACACATGAAAAACTTCATAAGGGAGAGAAAGCATTTGAATGTAAACAATGGGGTAAAGCCTTTAGGCATAACAGCCATCTTCATAGGCATGAAAAAATGCATACTGGAGAGAAACCCTATGCATATAGAGAATGTGGTAAGGCCTTTCGATATAATAGTGATCTTCAAAGACCTCAAAAAATGTATAGTGGAGAAAAACCCTATGCATGTAGAGAATGTGGTAAGGCCTTTCGATATAATAGTGATCTTCAAAGACCTCAAAAAATGTATAGTGGAGAAAAACCCTATGAATGTAATCAATGTGGTAAAGCCTTTAGATGTAAGAGCCATCTTCAAAGACATGAAAAAATTCATACTGGAGAAAAACCCTATGAATGTAATCAATGTGGTAAAGCCTTTAGATGTAAGAGCCATCTTCAAAGACATGAAAAAATTCATACTGGAGAAAAACCCTATGAATGTAAACAGTGTAGTAAAGCCTTTAGATGTAAGAGCAATCTTCAAACACATGAAAAAATTCATACTGGAGAAAAACCCTATGAATGTAAACAATGTAGTAAAGCCTTTGGATGTAAGAGCAGTCTTCAAACACATGAAAAAATTCATACTGGAGAAAAACCATATGAATGTAAACAATGTAGTAAAGCCTTTGGAAGTAAGAGCAATCTTAGAACACATGAAAAAATTCATACTGGAGAAAAACCCTATGAATGTAAACAATGTGGTAAAGGCTTTAGATGTAAGAGAAATCTTCAAAGACATGAAAAAATTCATACTGGAGAAAAACCATATGAATGTAAGCAATGTGGTAAAGCGTTTAGATGGCACAGTTCCCTTCACTTCCATGAAAGAATTCATACTGGCGAAAAGCCATATGAATGTAAAAAATGTGATAAGACCTTTACATTTCCTAATTCTTTACTGTTAGATGAAAGAATTCATGCTGGAGAGAAAAAATATGAATGCAACCTTTAGATGTAATCGTGATCTTCAAAGACATGAAAAAATTCATACTGGAGAAAAACCGTATGAGTGTAAACAGTGTGTCAAAGTCTTTAGAGGTAAGAGTGATCTTCTGTTACATGAAAAAATTCATACTGGAGAGAAACTATGAATGTAAACAGTGTGGACAGTGAGAGCTTTACATTTTCTGCTTCCTTACAGTTATATGGAAAAGGGCATACTGGAGAAAAACCCTGTGAATGTAATCAATGGGCAGGGTAAAAAC